AAGAAACAAATTGGTCAACAATTTGGCCAAAAGACCTCCATGAGGACAAAACAAAACTGTCAAATTATTTTTAATTTATTTTCAAGTGCACTTTAAACTAATTTTGTATTGTGAATGTTACCATGCAATAGTTGCATTTGTTTATAACTTCTGCAACATTTAAGTCTATATTAGTATGTATTACTAGGTATGTTGTGAATTGTTGTAAATTTGTCTTTCTGTTTAGAGTGTACAAGAGAAGACTATTATGTTGCTGCTAAGGTTTTAAACATATTTTTTTGTAGTAAATGCATCATTTTTAAATAAGAAGACCATTATTAATATTAAATTGCAATCAAAGCAAACTACCTACTTAGAGCAAAACTACAAATACATCTGGTATTGAATATAGTTAATTAAGTAAAAATTAGAATGCATTATTTCTTCATTTGGATATACTTGCTGTTATCAGTATTTTCAGTTATAATTCCAATAATATATCACAAGGTTTGGCCAGCTTAGAATACTTAGGTTAGTCATAAATACATATATTATGCTAAAAATGTAAAACAATCTCAGTAATAAAAAATAATATTAAAAAGTAATCAAATTAGGTACATTAAACATTCTAACCAGTACTTACTGTTAATGAAATAACAGAGTGTACCTTACTTATGGAACATTCAAACACTACCTGTTGACTTCATGTACTGTCACAAATTTAATGTCCGTTGAAAAATGTGACATCAATATAATTACATATAAGCAAAACTTTATACAATCCTCCTTAAACATGTCTTGTGACCGAAAATAAATTACTATTACATACTAATGTTTAAGTGTGGAGCCAAGTAACAGGACATTATCAAAAGTACAGCATAAAACTAATGTTTATGAAGATACAAAATAAAAAATTAAATGAATAACTGACTCATACATTAAATAGCTAGAATATTGGTTCTGTAAGAAAAATATAACAATGATGCAAATAAAACAATGTTAAACATACTATGAAGAGTGACTAACAACTCCAATTTTAACTAATCTCTGTCACTTAACAAACACCATACAGCAGGAAACAGGAAGCAATAAATAGTCATTCTGCTAATGATCTACTGAACAAATATTACTGATAAGATTTTGAATTGTTACAGAAGTAGTACTAGTTTCTCATTATAGTTTACTTGACAGATCTATAATGTTACTAATAATACTTTAAATGACTATAAAATTTTCATTCAACTCCTCATCTTACAAGTCTTAAGAAGATTTTATAATACTGGTGATGCTCTATGCTGTATACAATCCACTTAAGAAACATGTAATTGACTAGTAATGCTCAAGATTAAAGTAAATAAGTAATTTTATTTACAGATTACTGAAACAGACTAATATACTATTGCATCAGATAATTTCCTTAATTGATATTAAAAATTCTTTCTGAATGCAACCTACTGATTAAGTACAAAATTATAGTGTTAATTCTCTTTACTTATGAAGTTTAGTTCTGTTTAAAGGTAGCAAACAATTGACTGGTAATGTTGTAAATTGTTATAAAAGTACCATTCTGTAGAGAAGTGTATACTGTTATAGATAATGCAAATAAAATAAGATTTTTATAAAAAAAATTTTAATTTTTTGTGGTAATTCTGTATGGAATTTTATAGCATGGATTACACAACATTACCATTAACAACATCAGTTTTATGTATTAACATAAGGTGCCAACTGGTACAAAAGAAACCAGACTATTTATTACTGAACAACTACAGCTTCATTGTTTTATCCTTAATCATGTTAAGATCAAACTTTAAGGGGCTGTCTTTATCAGTAATTGCATGGAATGTTGGTAACCTGAACCTTGTTTTCACACACATTAATCAATGTGATTCTAAAAGTTGACCTGTTCTCTTGCTGAATATCATTTAGTAGTAACCAGATAAACTTATTCTGACAACAACAAAAAACTGCATATTCAAACAGTGTAGCAGGGTCCTACAAAGACTTTACCTGATCTTCTGTAAGTTTCAGATCTTTGTCAAGAAGGTATCTCAGCAGATTTCTGTAATATCCAGTAGACTGGGTATCTTGCTTCTTTTTAAGGAATATGAGAAACATTATGTAAGTATCTAAGCTTGATTACCAAATAATTAAGCATACATCTGCTTCTCTGACATGTTGCACTTGATAGTTTTTATCTAAGGCATGCTTCAAGGAAAAATTTACAAATGAGACTAAATCTATATAATGAAATGTCAAAATATTTAAACTTTTAACACAAACTACTCATAAAATTAATTATTTGCATCAACTTGCTCATAAACATTTAAAAATATATAACTAGTCACTTCATCATATTAGTTAATCACCTATAGTGTAAAATAACATTTTACACATTTTTGTGAACTATGCTTTCATATAATAATTTAGATGTTTCATATTCTTTGATATTACTAGTGATGATGAGTGACATTTAAAAATTTCCTTTATGACTCATTTTATCTTGAGACTTGGGAAAAAATATTGTAATAATATAAAAACACCAAAGAATCAAGTAGTGAGTCTATTAGTTGACTAGATACAAGTGTAAATTAAACAAGAAATAACTGTTTAGTGTTATTTGTTAGTTAGACCTATTGCTCAATGAGCTTGTACTTTGAGCACACATCTTTATATTGAATGCAAAGTTCAGTCTGCATTCTATTTTTACCTAAGTAATCCCATTTCTGACATCAATATTGTTAGTGTCTATTATTTAGGAGGATTTTCTTGATAATTCAATAAAAATAATGCAAAGTCCAGTCCACTTAACAGAAAAGAAAGTATTGTATATCATCTACCCCATTTTCTACATGGTGAGATAGAACATTTGCTGGAAATAGTGACAGTGTTAAGAAGAAGAAAAAACATAAAAAAACAAAGTATAAAATAAGATATAGAAAAAAAGTTATAACAAATTAAAAGACCAAAAAGAAATTTACAGAAAATTAAAAAATATCAAGACAAAAAGACAGAAAATTAAAATATGATCAACATGTAAGACACTGGAATTTAATGTGCATAAGGATTAAAACAGCAATGCTGAAATAGTACAAATAGATATCAATGAAGTAGAAAGGGAAGTACAGATAGATTATAACAGCAAAATTGATGAAGCTAGAACAGAAAAATTACAGCACTAAGATCAAAGAAGCAATAGGGCATGTATAGAAGTATACCAACTCTACGTTAAGATATCTAGAAATTTAATTGGCAAATGCAAGGATCAAAACCAGGCACAGCATTTTCTGCACCCAACAAAAAATTCCAACCTTAAACAGTGGGAAATATGGAATAGGAGAAACCATTTGGTAATTAAAGGTTGTGTACATATGTAGACTAGTTTCAAGTATTTTGAAAGAGAACTAAAGCATCTTCAGGAAATACTAAACATGGAAAATTAGTTCAAAGAACACAATACTGCCAACAAACCATAAAACAAAAGAATAACTAAAAACTATATAGAGTATTTAAAAAGAGCAAGGATAAAAACAAAGGTATAAAAGGCATATACTAATTGAATTAATGGTACCCGTTTTAGCATTTGTAGATGACGAAATTACAATAACTTTTCCAAATCTTTCCTTAGCCTCAAAATCTAAATTTCCAACACCTTTACTTAATAACGAGTCACATTTTATTTGGAAATTTAATATTTCCCTTACCTGAAAATTTATTTCCAGTAGATACTCACTTCCACACATAAAATAGCTTCATTCCTCATATGTCTGCCTATTAGATTTGCATGCCACTAGCCTTGAGCTAATTCCCTTATAAAAATCATGTGTTTAACATCAACTGTGCTTGTGCACAATGACATCATGCAATGATTGCCCTCCACCAATAGAAGGGTGACACAACCTTCCTTTGCTGCAACTCCCCTTAAATACTTGTGTTTGAAATAACTTTATTTTTAGACAAGGCAAAAAGAAAATGCACCGGAAGTGGGGAGGAAGGGTGGGAATGTGTGATGAGGTGAGTATCTATCAAAAATACATTTTCAGAATAGCTAAAGTCCCACATTGAAGTGGCAGAAAGACCAGTGCAAAATATTAAACATAGATAAGCTCCCTTCAGAAAGCATCCAAAGGGAAAGCCCGTGGAGTGTGACACCCAATGGCAGGGGCTCTATAGGGGCACACACATTGGAGACCACCAAAGTATAACTCCTCGCTCAGAAGGATACAAAGAGAAAGGCAAAAGATCCCCAACTGTTGCAGAGATGGGTGGAATTACATCATGACAAACCGAGCACCTGCACACATGTGGTCGATGAGCCAAGAAGTGTAGTGCGGTTAGGACACAATCAGACTATATAGTGTGTGCTCACCTCAATTCAACTGGACAGATTTTCACTGCATGAATAGGGCAAACTAACTGTTTGAGGGGTGACTCACACTACACAAACAGTGTCACCACCACTCTACTTCCCACCAGTACATGATAAGAAACTCTCCAATGTCCACCACCCGAGCAGCTAGGAAATGGTAAATGGCAAGTTTCCCATGATCCATTTGAAGTAGGGGGAGAACATGACAAGGGGGGGATGATCCGGAGAGGTGCTCAGATCCCCACCAGACGCCTGCCAGAAAGGTCTTACTGGAGACAGTACAATGGATGACCACCAAACCCTATTTTTAAAAGTGGGCAAACAGAAGCCATAGAAATGGACAGACACTTCCCTGGTGCTGGCTTTTCCCATGATAGTCCATGGAATGGTATGGTTTGGATCAGGCAATTGAGCAGTGTGTATACCACGAAGAGACCTCTAGCGGTTTTGCAGCTCACCCCATTTCAACAGTGAGCACTGGTAGTGCTATTGTAAATTGGCTTGAGTGCTTCACATTACTCCTGGTCCAATGCAGATTTTGAGAAATGAGATACAAGAGAATGATGCAGTTGAAGAGTCCAATGTGAAAGAATAATCAACCTCCTGAGCAGCTGAAGTGTAAGGAAGAAAGGTCCAGTCTGGATAAAAGAGGAAGTCCGGTGAAAGAGAATATGGGAATCAATGATGGCACAAACATCCAAACAACAGTAGCCATAGACAAGGAGAAGAAGAAATTATGTTTTCAGAGAAAGATAGAATAATGTACATGAAATCAATGGCTTGAAGAGAGCCTGTGGAATAGTGCATAAACCACATAAAAGTCCCAGTAAGGTATGGGAGTAGGATGAGAGGGTTGGTGAAGAAAGAAGGATTGAAACAAAGTGGAGAGGATAGGAGAAGAAAAAACAGACAGCAATGGGAAAGGTAAAATGTACGAGATAAATCTGCCCCAAAACCAGCAATAGGGTGAACAGGCAATCCATGGTTGAACCGTGTGAAAAATGCTGAAAGGTGGGCCATGGTAGGATGACCCAGAGTAAGGGAGAGGCAGATGGACCAACATCGAAAAGCCCAACACTTCAGTTGATAGACAAACAGAACTGAATGATGACTGGAATGGGACAAGAAAAATGTTACATGATTGGATAATCCAGCCCCGTGTTTAATGAAGTGGACAAATCCTACACTTGAATAGGAAGGAACAACACACCTGGGAAAGATATAGAGACATGATAGGAACAAGAGAATGGGAATGGATCAGAGGGAGGTCTGGATGCCAACTGATGGAGCAGAGGAAATCAGGACTGTGCCAGCCAAATAGGCTCCATCAACAGAACCAAACAAGGAGTGTCAAGTATCAAAGCAAGGACACAAGGGAACAGAAAAGGAGGGGGATATGCATATAGAAAAAGGTGAGACCAGTTCTGGCTGAAAGCATTGGTCAACAGGGTTGAAGGATGAGGAACTGGATATCAAAAGAGGGGAAATATGGTGTTGAAAGTGGGGAAGGCATCAAAGAAATGTGTGCCCAAGGGAAAGCAAACCCAATGAAAACCTCAAGGGTAGAGAGACCACTCCATGGTTAGCACCCTGTTTGGCTGAGAGAGGCTGTCAAGTTCAGAACTCAAGGTACATCACTAGCCATGAGACAAACCCAATGGGAATAAGCCAAAAATAGCAGGTCCAACACAAGAAAGCAAAAAGCAAAATTGTAGAAGTGATCACGACCAACCAATTCACAAGAAAAAGGGAGGAAGTGCTTGACAAATCGTGAGAAGTTAAAGGATGTTAACATGCAGTAAGTGTTCAAAATCATGTAGTTGTTCAGAGATGCCCCTCAGCTTGACAGAAAGACATCTGTAAAGAGACGGAGATGCAGTTGGGGTGGCAAAGGAACACCTGCTGTGGTGTTGACATTGTCAAGCCACCAAGACAAATCCTCAAGAATAGGGGAAGGGACAAAGGATCAAGAGAAAGGTTCCATTGGTACCACAATTTCAACTGGAAGAAGCATAGTTGTGTGCAACATGAATGAATGAATGGTACAAGGGAAGCCAGAGTTCTCAAAAGCAAAAAACTTTGAGTACATGGTGTAAAATAGAAACACAAATCATGGTAACAAGACATTCTATCGTTTGTAAGTGAGATGAAGAACACACTAAATGTACCAAATATAGGGTTAGCATGAGAAAAGACATTGAAGACTTGACAAACTAGCCCAGCCAAGCAGCTTCCTGCAGAATAATGCAGGTGTGAGAGAAAAAATCCTCTCAAAAAGAGGCAAGGGGATGACAATCATCCATGTAATAATGGAGCCACAGCTCAGCTCCAATCTATGAACAAAGCAAGCAAATGCCCCATGACTCAAATAAAAACATATCGAGCAGATTCAATGCCAAAAGGAAGAGCACAGAAGTGGAAGACCTGTTCACAATGAATGAAACAAAGAAAACATCTAGAGGATTAGGAGAATGGAATCTGTAAAACGATGTCTGAAGTGTAGACCTGGGTCATCCACAGTCTGGGTGAAAGTAAACCCTTCATATGGAACCATGGGATGATATGAAAGCAACTGAGATGACAGGTTGATAACCAGATGCCTGTCTGCAATTTGCTTGGGGACAACAAAAAAACGAGATTAATAACCAGGTGCACATGTAGGGGGGAATTCTCTGTCGATGGCATTCGTGACCAAGAGTCCTGAGAATAGATCACATCCTCAAGACACTGAAGATAAAGGGGAACAGAGGGAGGAGAAAAGGGTAAAGTGAAGTGGAAAGATAGGCCATGGATGATAACACGAATAATTCACCATTGGAAAAATAGAGATCAAAGGTTGGTGAAGAGAGGCAGATGGGCAGCCCTGACGGGGTAGCCATTGATGATATGAGCTGCAACTCTGACACTGGGGAGTGGGAGGATGAGAAGCTGAAATGGAAGGGTGAGACGTGGATCCAGCAAGCTTAGGAATAATAACAGAATGGTTGAGAAAAACAAGAAACCATAGTAGACAATTAGGACTGATGTTGAAGTTCATTTTCCAGCAGGATTATGATCCCAAGCATATAGCAAATGTGGTGAAAAAATATCTTGACATTCTCCAGTGTTTTCAAGTATGAGCCTTATAGCTTATATTTCTATAATATTGGGTTCAATCCCCATACTGGACATAAAGAAGACTGCAACCTTGTGCTAAAACAACAAACATTTTGATGGTAAAAGGCTGTTGAAATACTTACAACCACGGCTTGGCCTGCACAAAAAAAAAGGTTCCAGTAGGAGCATTGAGACTGTATGGGCCAATGTAAAAACTCTATGTTAAAGCAAAGGGCTCACATAGAAATACTAGTGCATTTTGCTACTTTTTAATTTATATATTCTGTAGTAGTTTTTTATCACTAACAAATTCAACATCTAGTTGCCATTATTTAATACTCTTATATGTGAATCTCTTGTGTGTTTCCATAATTACTGCTATTACTGTATATAAAGCCACATATTATCAACTTGAAAGAAAAAAGATACTAAGACTAAAAAAAAATATTACGAAATACTCATTTTATCTCATCTTACACCTTATGCAAAATTATTACTAGGGTAAAAAATCACTACTAAAATGAATCAAGAGAAAACTTTAGTTTACAGTACAGAAGAGAAATGTAGAAAACAATACAGCTAAGAAACTCAGTCCACTTATATATGTAGATAAAAGAAAATGACAGAGACACAGCAAAAATTTTTAAACAGAAACTTCAGTCCCAAGTAAAGAATAAAATAGTTATCAGACTGACATTATGTCAGGTTAATGATCAAGGATGCAAACAACATATAAGAAAAAAAATGAGTGCTACTTCAACTAATAATTGCAGACCTTAAGTAGAATAAACAAAATAAAAAAATGAAAAAACAACCGAGACTCATAAATTCTTCAATGATCCAATATATCATTTTTTTGGTACAATATTCTTATTATTCTTTAATTATTGTGTTTAAAAATATTAAATTATTTTACATCAAACAAGAATACATTTAAAAATATGTATGACATATGCATCTTTACAGTGTTTCCTACTAACTGAGACTTAGTTACACATTTAATACCATTATACAGATCAATGTATAGTCATCTGAGTAGAGCTATCGTTGATTAAACCATACCATGAGTCTTAAACCAAGGAAATTGCTTTATCTAATGCAGATGATAGCAAATTAATCACTGGCTATATAAACTTCTATCTAGTGACCCTCAAATGAACAAAAATAACTACAACTGTTATCTGAGGAAGTACCATTCCCAGTATATTCTTTGTAGTGAATATGCAGGAGTATTATTTCTAGAAATTAAATCTGGTGCTTCTAAGTAAAATTATCCAACCTGCCATATCAACTAACCTGATACTTAATACTGTCAGTGTTCTCTGTTTCTCTTGAATTATCCAAATAACCATTTTCAATTGAACCATTTTGTGAAAGGGATCTTTTATAATCTTGTCCCATATAAGATGGAACATACTCGTTTTTAATTTCTAAAACTTCTTGGTCTTTTTGTCTGGGTTGCTCTTCTTCAACAATGTGATTAAGACTCACATCTGATATGACTTCTACTAAACCAAGAGTGCTGGGATATATGACTCCTGTTTCTCCATGAGAACTAATAGTAGTTGTCACAATGTTGTTACAATTAGAAGTACTGCTTCCTGTTGAAAAGCCACTGCTCATGATTGATGTTAATGATTTATCAGAAGGTAAGTCTTCACCTGAAGTAAGACTTTTCAAGCTGATTGGAGTTTGGAGCATATTAGTTGTTTGGTTACAAGAGTAAATAGCTGGCTCTTTAGAAACTGGGATCTCAGGTACTGTGGGAATGTGATAACTCATGACATTGTCCATATACCTCTTTGTAGTTGGGATCACATTTACTGCTGAATTGTTAGAAACAGTTGTGGTCATCACTGGTCTGTTATAAGTAGGAATCATATTCACTGTTGAAATGTGAGAGTTGGTAGTTGTTAGTACTGGCTTGTTAGAAGTCAGAACATCAAGAGCTTTGTTGTCTCCTAATGGAAAATAATTTGTTTGGGGTTGAATATTTCCATCTATAATAGTGTTATTCATCTGTGTCTTGGTAAATGGTGGGGGTGTTGTAATTAATGGCATACTGTTCACCATTTTAGACTGATCATTTCTAGCAGCCAATTCTGTTAAAAGGTTTTTTGGTTGTTTGTCATTATTCTTTAAAGCTTTCTCATAACAAATGTGAATGGTGTTTTGATCTTCTGTTATATCATTTGCTTCATTAAATTCTTCATGTAAATGCCAGAGCTTACAGTTAGGTATATTTGTGATTTCTTTATGACCAACAGATTTATCTGTTTGATTGTGGTGTATGTTGCAAAAAGGATCTTTGGTTTCATAATTTCTGTTGATCCAGATCTTCCTACAAAACAGTAAAGGTTAGCTTTAAGACTTCAAGTTTTGTTCTTGGTTTTAAGAAATATAAATAAACAGATATTATTTAAGTTTTATTTTGTATCTATTATGTTCCTTTCTTGGAACAAATAGAGCATTTCTTACATTGGTGCTTGCTTTTTATCTAAATCTTAAAATAAAATAGAGATTTTATCACAATAAATGCAATAAAAGTTAGTGAGCTAATTTCTAATATACTATCTCCAAATCACTGTTACTCCTAAATCAATTTAGAAAACGACATAATTATTTAAGGTTAGCAAATTAAGAAAAAAAATATCAATATGACAACCCACACAAAAACTTTATATATATATATAAATATATTAATTAGCATCACCTTTTTTAAACTACTTCTACATTAAATGAACTCCATTCAGTCAACTTGAAGTCAAATATTAATGAACAAGTATGTAATTAATAAAGCAATGTTTTGAAAAATGACAACAGATTTCAACAGTAACATTCTTCTATAAGAATTTTTCTTAAGGTGAATGAAAGAGATAACTTAATGAAAATTTTCAATTTAAAGTAGTTAGGAATGAAACAAAAAATTATTTGATCTTTATAATGTTTCTACAAACTTTTATTAGAGTTACTAACACATGTGAAGCATTGTGGTATTTTGAGGTATTTTTTTTTATTTACAATGCTTCAAGAAAATAGAAATATATGCCTTGCATGGCATGTATAGTCCATTATGATGAAATATTGTGCCAGAATTAGCTAATGCTTTGGAATGCATTGATGATGCTAGACCAAGAAAGAAAGTATGTTAAGTGTAAACTAAGGCTGTATCAAAGTCGGTGGTGAGAAATAGAAGATTATATTATTCTGAGACTGATACTGAAATGGCAGAGAAAAGATCATGAGAATGTTTATGCAAATTTTGTTTGAGACTGGACTCAAGAATCATATCAAGAGACTGTTGCCAGCCTAGCAGAGAAAACATTATGAGAGTTGTATATATTAACTTGGATAAAACTTCCAAATAAGGGGTTAGTTAGAACTTTTGAAGTAATATTGATATCTAGAAAATGAGGGTAGATACATGTAAGAAGGCAGCTGAATTATTGTCTTCTACTATGGTCAATCATCAAAAGGTTTTTTTTTTTTGGTTCTGAGAAATATGATGAAATGTGAAAAATCGTCCAATTTAGTAGCAGGTCTACTTGTGGGTGGACATGCAAGTTATTTGGGAAGTTGAAGGAATATCAAGGAGAAATGGTATAAGAACAGGGGTGGTCTTAGTCATTCTGGAGCCCCAGGCAGAATTCAGTAAATAAGGCCCCATAATCATAAGAAAACTCAGTAATCAAACTTTAAATGTAGAACATATGATCTGAAATGAAAAACAAATTAATTGATACATTAATCGTAAACTTACTGGAAGAAATCATAGTGAAAACACATACTACATTCACAGAAGTAGATTAAAAGACATAGCATTGGGGACCCTAGTATGTGTGGGGCCCTGGGTAATTGCTCAGTTTGCCCAATAGGTAAGACTGCCATGTATAAGAACCCCCTGTTTTTGGTCCAAAAGTTATTTGGAAGTCAAGTTTTGAGCTGCCATAGAAAATTGCTGCCAGTTGAACAGTCGATTGATTTCAAAGAGTTCTTGGGCCAGAAAGAGTCTGCGAGCAAAATTAGAGCCAGTTGAGTCAAAAAATTAGCCAGAAATCAAGTTTTGAGCTGCCAAAGAGAATTGCTGCCAGTCTCCTAAGACTTCTGTAACAGAAACCTAAGAGCCAGAGTTCTGCCACAAGTCAGGAATTGAGTTTTGCTGCCAAAGAGATGATGTATGGAACAACCATACCAGTGTCTCCCCTGCAAAGTCCAGAGAGTATGTCTCACTCGAGCTTCACATAAGTAATCAATGCTACCTCTCTTGGATAGAAAAATGTAACTAGAAGTTGATGTGAAACATATAGTAACTCAGAAGTATCGTTAGTTGAGTCTAGATTAGCAACATTTGAACAGAGTGTTACTGAAGTGAATAGGAGATTTTAAAGTATTGTAAGTATATTCAGAAATTGTTATATTAAACATTGAAGTGTATTCTGAACCTCAGTCTCAGAGTCAATTCTTTATTCTAACTGTAAACTTCCTCGAGTTAGTGACTTGTGTGCTCCACTCACAATTGCATTTCTCAACCAAATATAAATTAGTTGTGACTGGAAGTAAAGTCGAAGCTCCAATGACCAGCCCACACGGTCTGCCTGTTATACATGGAATATTATGGTCGACCCACCTAATGGTGTATATGTTTAAAAAAAAACTGGATGGCCAAAGTTACCCTACCTACCTCACAACTTTGGCCACATATCTATGACCTCTCTGTGGCAACAGTTATATGGATAATGGAGAACTTTGGCTATTCCAAGTGTTTCTAAAAAGTTATAAAATGCATAAAACATGCACATTTCAATAAGAATACCAGTGTAATATGATTTTAATAATGAGTGTGTACTAATTGAGTCAAGTGTAATAACCAATAAACATTTAAGTAGAATATGCATAAATTCTGCATGAATATCAAAAATAAAAAAACATATGAAACAGCGTATTTGATCTTTATCCACTGTGTCTGCAACCAAAGGGAACACAAATATTTTGTCAGAGCCTCAGTGCCTTTGTATAAATATCTACACTCATTTCCATCTACTTTCTCAACATAGTGTTTCTTAATTTTTGCCATTTGATACTCTTCCAGAATGTAATCACCTTCTTCAACACTTGTTTCTGTTAATGGATCAGGGTTTTCTGTGCCTATATGCTCTAAGTCTGAATCAAAACTGAGGTTAGAACTGATATCATTGCTGCTATCATCAGAGCTGGAATTGCCTGAGATGGAATCTCTGAGTTACTGTCTGAGCTTGATTTTGATCCATTTTGATCAGATTCATCCACTGTACCAGTAGGCACTGGTTGTGGTACATCTGTTGCTTGATCAATTGAGACACTTTTCTCTGGTTCCACTGCAAGTTTTTTCTGCACTTTTGAGGTAGAGGATCTTTTTCTTCTCCATATTGCATTGCTTTCAGGTGCTCATAAAATATATCTGAGACCATGGATGGGTCTGCTTTGTTTTATACTCCTGTTTGTGAGCCTGCTGATAGCAGTCGACTGAGGACTTCATTCTCATTCAGTGGCCAATGTTATCAGGATCATGATTCCCACATTGGATGGTGACTTTGGCCATTTCAAAAAATGGATTACAGAAAAATATTTCATTAATACTGAATATTCAGTCAGATCCCCATTATTACATATTTGCAAATCATGGTAATATTACCTGTTTGCAAATAAGTACCCCAATGAGAAGTTTGACAAGAACTTTTTCACACTCAAAATTCTGATCCAATCTGGCTGCCAGTACCCCCACAATGAATAAAAATAATTTTGTATATAATACTTCTGTGTTTGAAGAAATAAATTCCTTTCACTGTGAATAAAAAAATTTATGGAAATATTAATTTTCAAGTATGATGTAAGAGATCATATCTTAGTTTTTTTTGTTTGGCCAAAGTTAGCATCTGTGACCAAATTTACCAGGTTTTCTGGTAATGATAACAGAGAAGTTATATAATTTTGTGATTTCTAGGGCATTTAAAATGAAATATTCATTCAATTAATCTCACTATCAAAGAGATTTAAAGAAAATCTCAGATATTTATGAAAATTACCACTGTATAATGAGACATTGACACTGATAAGGTTGGTTGGTTGGTTGTTTTGAATTTCGTGCGAAGCTACACAAGGGCTGTCTGCACTAGCCGTCCCTAATTTAGCAGTGTAAGACTAGAGGGAAGGCAGCTAGTCATCACCACCCACCACCAACTCTCTTACCAATGAATTGTGGGATTGACCATCACATTATAATGCCCTCACAGCTGAAAGGGCGAGCATGTTTGGTGTGACAAGAATTCGAACCTGCGACCCGCAGATTGCGAGTAGAGTGCCCTAATCACCTGGCCATGCTGAGCTGATCCTGATAAGAGCCAAAGTAAATGAATAGACTTAGTGTTTATTTTTCTAAATACTTTGGCAGGGCTCTGTTCCAAACAAATCTTACTGTCTCTTCAAAACACCTGCTCCCAATATTTAATGTCCCATCAAACTCCAAAGTTACTATCATAAATTTAAAAAATTGTTGTTTTATATATTTCAAGTTATTACTTGCTTATTTACTATCTACTACTGCTTTAACCTGAATAAATATTTAATTAGGGTAGCATAAAAAAATGACAAAAAATATAAAAGCTAACAAAATGTATAAGTTGAGACAACTATTATGATTAGAAACTGACAAAGTTGAAACCTTCTAAAATTAAAATATATAAACATGTCCAAACTGTTTCTGAGAATTGTTATATTAAAAGTAACTCACTGAAGTTATAATTTTCCTACACTGAAAATGTATTTCCAATAGGTACTTACCACGTCTCACATAAATAGCTATTCTCATTCAGTGCTGTCCTCTATATGCAAAACAAAAAACTTATGCATGCTACAAGCCTTCCATCTCTCCTCTATTGGAAGTGACTGATTCCAATGCATCTCTCATGCAAATTATCATGTGTCAACCCTCCACCAATAAGTGTGTGACATACTCTCATGATACATGTGACTCTCTCTATTCAGTTCTACTGAACTATCACTTCGAGTTTTGGCAGAAAATGGAAGCAGTGGTTTTCAGAGGGGAGGAAGAGTGGGAAGTGTGAGAGAAGATAAGTACCTATTGGAAATACATTCTTGGGGAAGGAAAATTATAACTTCCGATATGGTACATTACCTCCTTTTACATAAATCGCTAGAATCCCACACTGAATAGGTTGAGAGACTGGTGTGAGGGAAAGAAAGAAGCATCCTTCTAAAGCAACTGAAGGACACACCCTAAGATGAGACAGTCAGATTCTAAGATCTAATGAGGGGAACCACACCACTTCTGAAACAGGTATATTC